TATGTATGTATGTATGTATGTATGTATGTATGTATGTATGATGTATGTATGATGTGGATGAGATGTATGTATGCATGTATGTATGTATGTATGTATGTATGTATGTATGTATGTATGATGTATGTATGATGTGGATGAGATGTATGTATGCATGTATGTATGTATGTATGTATGTATGTATGTATGTATGTATGATGTATGTATGATGTGTATGATATGTATGTATGCATGTATGTATGTATGTACGTATGTATGTATGTATGTATGTATGTATGTATGTATGTATGTACGTATGTGTGTATGTGTGTGCGTGTGTGTATGTGTGTGTTTGGGTGCGTGTGTTCATACATGCATACTTATGCACGTACAGTATGTGCACGTGTGCACATGCAGATGTCGACATAGCCAGCCAGATGCCGCATGCACGGGTCTTCTTGGGGCCTTGTTCTTGCCTAGGCCCGTTTCGGCTGCGCCGGCGCCTTGGAGTCTTCGGCTTCGGCGAGCCTTAAGCTCCAAGAAATGCGTTTCAAAAAAAGCCCAGGCTATCCGCCATGCTGATTCTGCCAGTCTCCTGCCAAAGTCGGTTTCAGGACCGGGGAAGGGAGATCATCCATGCACCTGCGCTTCGAAGATGTGACATGATGTGACGCCGAGCGCTGCATAGCTTCGCAGGACCTCGCAGGAAAAAAACTGAATTGAGCAAGGTCAGCAGGGTTCCAGTGACCCAAAGACTGGTCGCTGCCAGAGCGCGACGCCAAAATTCTCGCCGTTTCCGGGAAATCTCATCAGTGCAGATGTCCTGTTGGAGAGGTGTCGAACGGCTGCAGAGACATTCGGCTCAAGGTAGGCGTGACTTCGGCTTGGTCAGGGCTGGGCATGACAGCCTAATCTTGTTTGGGTCCGAAGAAGCTTACAGTGAAAGCTTGCAAGCACATTCCGTCGGGATCCGTCGGGCCTATGCTGATGGTGAGGCCGGCAGTGGCTAGTATCGGGCTCTGAAGTTTCTTTCAAGCAGATCAGCAGCACCTGACCAGTACCGCCGTCAAGTTTTGACTCACTGCACTTCTAGTCAGTTTAGTCATGTTCTGCGGAGGTGAGCCACTTGGAGGGTGCGGTGTGGTTTGAATTGAGTAGTTTTGAAGCAAGAGTTCGCGACCCGCCGAAGCACCGTGAAGCGCTTGTGCCGTGACGGCTGTGCCGATGCTGAAGGGCCGTCGGCCAATGTGCACTCTCGTATGCGAGTACAGTACTAGGTCGAGATGGGCAGTCGGATAGGTGTGGAGCCATTCGGCTCAGAGTGAGACTCGTGCTGTGCTGCTCATCGTAGCTCCTCCTCAGGCTTGTGGCCGGATATCTTTTCAGAGCTGCAGAGGCGCCTGCACATAAGCCATATGATGCCAGTCCGAGGAAGGGTTTCTCAAAATGGGAGGTGGATAAGATGGCGAGGATGACATGCTACGGTGACCACTTTTAAACATGTG